TAGAGAGGTGGAGGAAAGGTCTCTGACATCCGTGGTCTGTGTCTCCCTCTGATCGAGAGGTAGGGCATACTGCCTGGCCGCCCTGGCGTCTGTGGGACAGACTGAACGCCGAGAATGGTTGGACGGCATTCGATATGGAGCTAGTGCGAGTATATGTTCCCGTCGTCCCGACTCACTCGTCTATTTTAAGACACAACTGAGAACGTTCATTGCCAGTTGAATCGTACAAAAGTTACAAAACAAATAATTATTTAATAATATTATCAGGAGGCCGGCAGGCTGGTAAGCTCTGTAGGGCCGTGTAGGCGCCCTGTGAGCCAACATCTCACGCCCTCTTCTTGCTTTGCGGTCCGTTCACGTCCTTTTTCCCCCCCTTATAGATATATAGGAAAACCGCCGTGCTCTACCCCGGCCTCGCCGCGCTACTCGTCAAATGCAGGAGGAAATGCCATGTATATTTCCAGTTATACTGGAATGATACACTCGGCACTGTCGGCCGTTTTCACATCTGGCGACCCGTGGAGCAAGTTCGCCCCGCTCTTCAAGCGAGCATACTCGCACTCGCGGGGGGGGGAAGAGGGACGGGGGGGAAACTGAATCTGACCCCAATTCCCGTTAGGTGCATGGTCCCACGAGAAAATGCCCTCACTTCCTATTCTTTCAGAGAGATAAATACCGGTTCTGCTCTCTTTCTTTCTTTCTCTCTTTGTGCTCATTTGTTTTTTTTCGATCTTTTTTGTTTTGTTTATTGCTCTGACAAGAGGGGCCCTCTCTTCCTTTCTTAATTTGTCACTTGGACTTGGTGTCTTAAACGGTGCCAAGGACCTTATTAAAAAAAAAAGAAAAGCGGGTGCCAAGGATAAGATGTGCTTTGAAAAGAGGGCATGTGTTGAGTGGGAGAAAAGCTGAGGTCTATTGTCTGCTGTCCTGTGGAGCAGACATGTCCTTTTTGGGGGCAGAGAAAAATGCGGTCCCTTTTTCGTGTGGTTCAGGCTCTGATCCACTGATAAGTTCTGGCCCCTGCCCCCCCCCCCCCCCCGGCAGACTAACTTCACCTGTACCCTCTTGGGACTCTACGTTTTTTTTTGTGTGCGGTTGAGGCTCTGCCTCACGGACTCAGTCTGTCCAGTAGGCATGTTTCATCAATGCTCTCTTTTTTGCGTGGTTCAGTTTGTGTGCTGC